CTTCTCTCTCTTCTCTCTCTTCTCTCTCTTCTCTCTCTTCTCTCTCTCTCTCTCTTCTCTCTCTTCTCTCTCTTCTCTCTTTTCTCTTTCTCTCTCTCTCCCCAATTCCCTTTCGTTTGGGCCCAAAACTCACTGGAGAACTCAGAAAGGTTTCTTTCTCAGGGAAGACCTGTTCTTCTATAGGAGCTCTAAGAGGGTCGCGTCTTTGCCTTCAAGGTTGTGCACCTGAAACAGGTGTCAACTATGTGCGGCCAGTGCTTGAGCAAGTACACCAGTAAATTATTTGTTCATACTTCGGCTTTGGGCACGAGAACCCTTCCAGACATATTGCCAATGCCCAGAACATGACCTTAGAAATCTGGTGAAGGCTCAGACCACAGCCCTTTTTGCAGATGTTGATCACTCTGATCATTCTTCCCATTTTCGAGCCTCTCCTCCATCAACTTTCTATGAGCACGTTTGCAACCAGCAAAGCTTCCTAGGCCTCCAGCAAAGGGGTGCATCAGCAGCCAAAGCCCTGGAGCAGTTCTATTAAGATAGGACCCACCCCCCTGGCCGCCCCTGGCCGCCCTTGGCCTTTTGGCAAATTGTGGGATGCCTTTTTGGCGAGGGTGGCCTTGTCTCTGAAACTCAGAGCGTCCGATAGTACAGAGCCAGCTGATGCTGTACGAATTACCTATCCAGCCTGCCCAAATTGTTCAGGAGAGATAGATGCGGGGTATCCAGTCACCAAGTCCGCGCTTGCGGAGAAGGCTTGCTCAGATCCAACTTGTTGCCGAATTCTCAAACCGACTTACTTACACTCGAAAGCCTGATCAGAGTTGCTCACGATCTGCCAAACACTCTTTGGTGTTTGCGACAGGGCTATGATATTGTTGAAGGAGAAGACGAGTCGGAAGATGAAGACTTGTTTGGCAGGAGAGGTGATGACCTTGAGGTCCCTTTATTGCCCATCATCGTGACTAAAGAACCGAAGGATCCCAAAGCTGGAACCTGATGCAGCCAGAGAAAAAGGAAAGCAGGCGTTCAGATGCACAGATTTCCAGACTGAGTGGATTTAGAAGGCACTTTCGGACGAACTCAGGCTTTCCAGGACGGAAAGTATGACAAGGCTATCAAGTATTGGCAAGGCAAGCCTGTAAGTAAGCGCTTCGATGCACAGCAACCACATGGGCCACATGTGTCGCATGAGTCATGTCATGTCATGTCATGTCACGTCTAGGTGGTCTCAAGCATATCTTGGGATCCTTGTGCTGGAAGCTTTGGATCATTCAACGCAGTGAAGCCTTTGGCCACGGATTCTTCACATTGATCCGTGTTTCAACTTGCTGCCCTTTGAGCACAACTGGAGATGTTTCAATCTAGGTTCAGGACCCGAGGCTTTGTCAAATCAGACTTGGTCTCAGTGTCAAGCAGTGGGACGTGCTGGATGCTACTGGTGTGAGTAAAGGCAAGGGTTTTATGGATTTTATATTCTTTTACTGTATATATTCATGCAAATGCAAAGTGTCAAAGTCAAATCCGCCGAGGAAGAAACTATCATAGGGATTTGCGTGTATCAACTCCAGACGACATGGGTCGACGATACAGAGCTATTTAAGGTCGCTCTCCGAATTGGACTTGACTCTAAATTTGAACATTGCCAGGGCCTTAGACATTTGCACTGTAGCCAAGCTTCTGGGATTGAGCAGTTGATAGGCCATGGCTTACATGAAGAAGGAGGACTATCAAGCTGCAGACAGGCGCTGCTTTTCTTTGGCTCCTAGGTCTAGGTCTTCTTCCGGAAGCAGCGATCAAGGGATGTCCATTCTGCATACTGTCAGGTGTGTCGACAAAGCTTTGGCCCGGAGGGAGGCAGTCATTTGAGGAAAACCACCAAGCTTGGAGCCGACAACGATTTTTTCTGGGCAGGCACTACCACCTCATTTGATTACAAAGGCGCGAAAATTATTAAACATATCTGTGGCATCTTCGGGTGCCCCTTTTGCAGGCTCTATACAGGAAAGCCAGCGCACAGCGTTGCATGAAGAGGCCTGTTTCTACCACCCAATTCATTTGTGCATTTGCGAAGCGACAACTTTTGGAAGGCTGGATGCGTGCCTTGAAACTCTCAAAGGGTTGCTGGAGGTTGGCTTTGAGTGCTCTGCGTATGTCATTGCGTCAATGATCCAAGCCAGGTGGAATCGAACCATGCAGCTGCGAAGCAAATGCAACAGGAGGATGGTTACTACATGTTACCAGAGCAAAGAGCAAATTAGTGTTTTGCTGAGACTTACAACGGCCAGGTCGAGCGTGATTGGAACAAGCAGTGCAGGGACCAGAAGAAGAATTTCAGGACAGCTTGGCTTGAGATTGCACAAAGTGATTAGGTGACATTTGGTCACCAAGACAGGAAGCTTTTTGATAAACTTTCTGGAGAAGACAAGCAAGCGGAGGAGAGCAGTAGCCAGAGTGACTGTAGTACACTAATTGCCTTGCCAGCAGCTTAGAAGGAACAAGAGCGACACGCAAGACAAGCCCTACGTGAGAGGCGAAGCCAGAACTTCCTCGCGGTAAGAGTGGTAGGGTTGGTGACGATAATGCATGGTGCTTGATGGTAATGGTGACAAGCGGTGACAGAAGTCCAAAAGATACACGGTGTTTCACAGAGACGGGCGACAAAGCTCGTGAGAATACGTGTACTTCATAAGGAAGGTAGCGTGTTTGCTCCTTTGCACGGGAGTCCTCACCCGTGAATTTGGTCTTCATTGCTGATGAAGTGACCAGTTCATACCTACCACTGAAGTTGGTTCTCATCTAATGAAGGCGAGTAATTACCTTCTAGCTTGAGATTATGGTGCACCTTGCAACTTCTGCCGCAGCCGTCAATGTGTGCATTGCCTTGGGAAACCCATCACATCGCTTTCAGACTTTTGTCTCGGTGCTGGTTGGTTGGTTGGTTGCCCCGGCGCTACGAAATCTGTTGGGGCAAAGGGCTGGGACAAGTGCTTGTTAAATTTCACTCTGTGAAAGCGTATGCTACGAAAGTCTTGTTGGAGAACGAATCGCAGCCTCTTTGTGGCCGTTTCACTTCTCTCGCCACACGACCAGATTTTGAGTACCGGCTGTGTTTTGTTGCGTTGCCTGCCTGTTCCACCAGTCCTTGATGCCCAAAGCTTACGCTCACAGATGCTCATAGTAACTCCAAATGCCCATGTGCATAAGGGTGGCAACTCGGCAACCTTTTGCCTGAAAGACGAAATGTGTTTGTGGACTCAGCACACCTTGTTACATCTTGTTACTTCACTTGTAACATGTATTTCCGGCAGGTGCGCCGTACGATGGTTGCAAGGCGATGTTGATTCAGAAACCTTTGCGCTTGGCAGCTCTCCTGCTTGCGTCGAGAAGGTAAGTGTTTTGGTTTTTTTGCACTCCTTTGAACATAGTGACCGTTTTCTTTGTTGCCACAGCCACAGGGTCATCCCCCTTTCGAGGACTGGGGGCTTGCGTTGAGCAGAACTGTGCTCTGGGCTCTAGAGCAATTTGCTGTGGAGGGGTTTGGAGCTTAGAGCCCCGAAGAGCATCGAATATTCTAATTGTTTGTATTTTATGCCATAAGTTTTTAGTGAGTCTTTTGATTTTGAACATTGAAATCGGCTGTCACTACTCTAGCCTCTGACTCTTTGAGGCACGTTTGTGTTTCGACGGAAGAGAGCCAGAAACCAAGTGTCTTCTCATTTGTTACCCAATCCAGTTCTTTCTTTCAAAAGGGGCTGGATAACCAGTTACACCTCTTTTCACTTTCACCGTGCCTCCACATGATTCAATTAGAGCTGAAACGATCCCCAAGTTGTGAGATGCCATGGGTGGAACAACCACATAGAACGATGCCAGCAGCCACATGAGCAAAACTGAATTCTGAAGCATTCAAATCTTCATCCTTCGGTAAACAACTAAAGAGCAGAACCCTTATATAGCCTGTTCACCTGACAAGAAACTCAGCAAAACCAGCGCAGGTTCGGTTGCGATGAACATTTCTTGCAAACTGGGTGAGGTACTCTGGAGTTAACTCCACAGGGGTTTGAGTTGTCGGCTACAAGAGTCAGCCGAGGTGCTCTGTTAAGGCTTTTGGAACGTTGCCGTGGATATGTCTTGTTGGCGCCGGACAGTCTCCTCTAGCCTTTGCATTTCTCGCTGCCAGAGCCTTTCTGCGCTTGCAGTTCAGGCATCACTGTAAATTCGCGCAGGTTCGTGAGACAGAGATCGTTCACTCATTTCAGAGATGTTGCTGGAACGCCAGGAGACGCGCTTGATTGGAACTCCCCAAGACGTGACATGTATGTGCAACATATAATGCTTTTGCGTCAAGATTAAAAGTTCAACAGGGCCATTTTTAGGTCCTTCAAAAACGTGAACAACACGAAATTTAAAGGCTTACGCCTAACAGCCGGGCGCCGGCCCACTTGGGTCTGTGTAGGGCTGGGTCGGGCGCACGTGAAGCTATCGGGGGCATACACTGGGCCCTGGTGGTGCCGGAAACTGGTCCGCGTCGGAGACGGGGCCCTATATTGAGCAAAGTTAAGCTATCTGGTGCGCATCTTGCCAAGTGGGGCCCATGTGGTCTATGTTGGGCACATCTGGAGCCCATGTTGAGCCTATGTTAAGCCTATGTTGGCCTATGTTAGGCCTATGTTGGCCTATGTTGGGCCTATGTTGGCCCCATGTTGGCCTATGTGGGCCTATGTTGGGGATATGTTAAGCAATTTATGTGCCCAACACCCACGAAATGTCGATTAAGCTTGTCCGCGCGGCACGCATAACCGACACCACCGGCGCCTTGTTAGGCGAAAGTCCCGCCGAAAGCCACGAAGCACGGTAAAACACGATGTTTTTGAACATCCTGCGCAAAAAACCTGGTAGATACATATAAATCCGTCGACCGGATTCGGGCGGGGGTCGACCGGGGGTCGACCGGGGGTCGGGCGCAGGTCCACCAAAAGGGTCGGCGGCAGGGGCGGCGAGCGTATATAACCTTCGGTTACCAACCGAAGGCCTCCGGGCAAGGGAACGTGCGCGTGGCCGGCGCCCGGATTTAAAGGCTTACGCCTACAGCCGGGCGCCGGCCCACTTGGGTCTGTGGGGCGTATGTCACACCTATGTTGGCCTTGGTGGGGCTAAAGTTAGGCTATTTGGTGCGCATCTTGGCCCTAGGTTGGGCCAAGTTGGGCCCATGTGGTCTATGTTGGGCACATCTTGGGCCCATGTTGAGCCTATGTTGGGCTTATGTTGGCCTATGTTAGGCCTATGTTGGCCTATGTTGGCCTATGTTGGGCCTATGTTGGGCCTATGTTGGCCCAGGTTGGCCCCGTGGTGGCTCTTGGGCCCATGTTGAGCCTATGCTGGGCCTATGTTGGCCTATGTTAGGCCTATGTTGGCCTATGTTGGCCTAGGTTGAGCCTATGTTGGGCCTATGTTGGCGTATGTTGGCCCCATGTTGGCCTATGTTGGCTCTATGTTGAGCCATCTTGGAGGCTATGTTGGGGATATGTTGGCTATCTTGGGCCTATTTTGGGGATATGTTAGGCAATTTATGTTGAAAAAATCTTCCGATACAACTTTTGACGATTTTTCCTTCCCGCAAAGCAAAAACACTGGAACAACCTTTGTTTTTTGACATCGCCAAGATGAAATTCTCGGCCGCCGAGGGGCGCAAAAACCCTGTAAAACACGAGGTTTTTGAACATCGCGCGCCAAAAATACTGTAAATTACAGCGACTTCAGTGAACAGGAAGTGACGAGGGTCCCCCCGTTTTGGGAACGAGGGTCGGCGGTGGGTCGGCGGCAGGGGGCGCGCCCGTCTATAACCTTCGGTTACCACCGAAGGCCCTCCGGGCAGGGCACGGGCTTCGTGGCCGGCGCCCGGATTTAAAGGCTTACGCCTAACAGCCGGGCGCCGGCCCACTTGGGTGTGTGTAGGGCTGGGTCAGGCGCACGTTATGCTATCGGGGTACTGGGCCCTGGTGGCGCCGGAAACTGGTCCGCGTCGGCGGTCGAGGCTTAGGGCACGCTGAGCTCGAAGAGGCAGCAGCGGCGGTCAGCCGAAGGCCCCTGGGCAGTTGCTGGTTCCGCCCGGATAAAGTCAAGGCTGTGTCCCCCTTTGCCCGCAAGTTGCAGTCCACATACGGCGATCTTTCTAGTGTTGATCTGGACCTGCCGGAGGGGCTTCTGGGGCCCTATATGGAGCAAAGTTAAGCTATCTGGTGCGCATCTTGGCCCTAGGTTGGGCCAAGTGGGGCCCATGTGGTCCATGTTGGGCACATCTGGAGCCCATGTTGAGCCTATGTTGGGCCTATGTTGGCCTGGGTTGGGCCTATGTTGGGCCTATGTTGGCCCCATGTTGGCCTATGTTGGCCCTATGTTGAGCCATCTTGGAGGCTATGTTGGGCATATGTTGGGGATATGTTGGCTATCTTGGGCCTATGTTGAGGATATGTTAGGCAATGTAAGTCGTCTGGAGGCCTCTACCCACAAAATGTCGATTAAGCCTGTCCGCCCGGCGCGCATTACCGACACCACCCTTGAAAAACACAGCATTTTTGCATTTCTTCTTTTTCCCCGCGTCGTACTTCGATATGCGCAATAAACCTTGTAAAACACAGTGTTTTTTATACCTCACACACACGATACACTGTAAATTACAAGGGCTTCAGTGCCAAGGTTGCACCCTGCGAGGCGCCGAGAAGCGTTTGAGGGGGGGCCGTCGCCTTCGGAAGCCTAGAAAAGAAGAGGCCGGCCTCGGCTGCTAGCGCCGTACGTGGCAGCCCAGGCCATGCCTATATAGGCTGCGTGGCCTCGGGCAGGCTAGCTGTGGCCTGCGCTAAAGCCCACAAAGGTGGAGATGCCA